AACAATATATAACACATTACATTAAGAAATAAGGAAATTACTTTCAATGTATACATTAATTTTTTTGACACTCTTAGTAAGAAAATCTGCAATCATATTATCAGTTTGTGAATATTCCATCTTAATAACATTGTCCTTTGTTAAGTCCTTCATAAAATGGAAACGTAAGTTCATGTGTCTGGATTTCGTAGAAGATCTTGCACAGTTGATCCACTGGATGGCAGCTTGACTGTCTGTATTTAAGACCACTGCACCATTCAAAAATTGTTTGCATTTTAATTCTGATAATAAATTTACAGTCCAAATAATATTCTTACAAATTTCAGAAATAGAAAATAATTCTGCTTCACAAGTAGACAGACTAACACTTCTCTGCTTACGACATTTCCAAGAAATCAATGAATCACCTAGTAAAATAGTACCACCAGAAAATGACTTACCATTTACTGCATTTCCCCAGCTAGCATCAGCATATGCATTTAAAACTCCAAAATCATTGCTATAGAAAAGTTTTTTATTTTTTGTACCTTTTAAATACCTTAATACCCTTTTAGCCAAAAGATAATGCCTTTTTTCTGGTACATGATTAAATTGTGACAAATAAGTTGTTACAAATGATATATCAGGACGCGTTCTATTCGCTAAATATAAAAGTTCCCCAATTAATTCCTGATACAAAATTGCATCAATTTTTTCATTTGTACATGAAAAAGCCTTTATCTGCTGCCCCTTTAACGATTGGCGTTTTTACTACTGCTTTAGAATTTTGCAGATTGTGTTTAGTCAATAAAGATTCAATATATTCTGTTTGAGACAAACATATACCATTTTCAAGTTTTTCTATTTGCATTCCTAAAAATTTTGAATTAGTATTTCATGTAACTCAAATACATTTTTTATTTTAGAAACAATATCTTCAAGCATTTTTCTTATTATTACAGAATACAGCTAAATCATCAACATACAAACACAATATAAAATGTTTTTGGCATCATTATAAATGAATATACAATTATTAGATGCTAACTGTACCAGCCCAAGTTTTTCTAATTCATTTTTTTATTTTCATATATACCAATTTCTACCGGATTGAGGCAACCCATAAATACTTTTCTCAATTTACATACTTTACCTTCTCCAATCAGTTTTTCATAACCAGGGTGGAGGAGTCATATACATCCTCGTTCGTTAAGTCACTGTGCAAGTTACGTTGTTTTTTACATCATAAAATTTAACAGTCAAGTTTAATTTAGCTGAAAGTGCAAGCAATAATCTAAAACATTCAATGTTAACTACTGGTGAATATGATTCGGTATAATCCTTATTTTTTATTTGATTAAACCCAGCCGCTACTAATCGCGCTTTATATTTTACTTCCCAGAGTCTCCTTCCTTCAAAGTATACACCCACTTACTTTTACTAATTTTGTTTTTTCAGGCCTCTCTACTACTATTTCCCACACTTCGTGTTTATGTAATGAATCTATTTCATTTTCCATTCCGGATTTCCAGTCATACCAATTAGCACTTTGTTTTGCTTCTGAAAAATTATTCGGAACATTACTGATTACACTTGACACTAGTTGTTTTGATTTGAGCCTCTCGGATCGTCTTAATGGTATTTCATTTCCATATTTATTACTTTTTTCATAGCTATCAGATGTTTGGACTTCATTCCCCCTGTCATCACCCCCGCTACAACGGCTTATGTCGGCGATTTCGAAATTCGATGAGTCATCATACTCGCTTGCTTGGGTATTTTCGGTAACAACCAATTCGAGGTGTGGTTTTTGATCTAATTCGTTTCCCTTTCTTTCTAATTCTTCAATATCCCAAGTTTCTAAAGTTTTATTTTTCCCATATAATTACTACCCTTTAAAGATTCGTTAAATTTAACTGATCGTTCTTCAATTATTTTGTTACTTGCTATATCATAAATACGATATCCTTTTCTTTCTCTAGCATATCCTAACATTATCCCTCTTTTCCCTGGTATGTCAAATTTGTTTCGCATTACTTTAGGAATGTGAAAGTATGCCACACATCCAAACCTTTTTAGATAGTTTAATTTGGGTTTTTTACCAGTCCAAATTTCTAAAGGAATTTTTTCTTTCCTTTCCGGGGTGTTAAATTTGATACTTGAGTACTAAAATTAATTGCTTCTGCCCAGAATTTTACCGGAAGCTCACTCTCATGTAGTAATGTCCTAGCTCTTTCTAAAAGAACTCTGTTTGCTCGTTCAGCTTTTCCATTACTCTCACTGTTATATGGAATTGTTTTTTTCATGAAAAATACCTGAATTAGCAAGATATCTATCTAATTGTTGATTTACAAATTCTAAACCATTGTCTGTTCTCAAACGTTTAATTCTTTTACCAGTTAAATTTTCATACTTAGCTTTAAATTTACAAAATGCGTCAAACACTTCACTTTTACTTTTAAGAAAATAAGTAAAATACATTCCAGAAAAATCATCCACTAAGATCATAAAATATTTAGACCCACCAATTGATTCAGTTTGAACAGGGCCACAAAGATCCGAATGAATTAATTCTAAAATTTCTGAACTCTGATTAATGTCAATATTTAGGATGACTTTTTCTAGTTATTTTACTTATGTCACAAGTTTTCACACTTAAAATCACTTACATCATTAATATCAATGTATTCTTTCATTTTAAGCATATACTTTGGATTTAAATGGCACAATCTACTATGCCAAAGTTCATAATTATTACCAGTACAATCATTAGCAATGCATGATTCAGAATTATAATATGGTTCTAAATTAACTTCAAGCCTACCGTTATTCTTAAATGCTTTAAAAAGTAATTCATTACACCTACTAAAAACCTAATACAGAATTATTCCTTGATTCAATTTTACATCCTTTATCCATTAAGGCAGTGAGTGACAATAAGTTATTTCTTAAATCAGGAATATAACTAACATTACTAATAGTTAAAATTAATAAAACTAGAATTCTTTGTATTTATAGCTTTTGCTTTAACAGTACCAATACCTTCTGAATATATTTTTGAGTGTTTACCTGCCTGGTAAATTTCCCTCACCTCTGGTGTAATATTCTGAAACCAAAAGAAGTCTTTTGCCATGTGTCCGGTTGCACCACTATCCAGCAACCAAATTTTATCACATTCATCATTTTTTTTTTCACGCGGAAGTTTGAAGAGCAAAAACATTTTCTCTTTCATCAGAACGAGATGAAACGTTCACACTTGTAGGTTGTGAACTTCATTTCTTTCCCTTGTTACCTTTGGATAACTCACTTTTTGGATTCTTGTTTCTGTAATAGCAGTCCTTCGCGATGTGACCAGGTCGTCGGCAAATGTAACAAATTCTTGGCTTATAGTTTTTATTCCTTCTTGATATGAACGCCTCTGCGTTGTTTCCATCAGGTCATTTCCCATTCGTGTTGAATTGTGAACGGACTCTTCCTCACGGAGTATTTCGAGTACTTCATCAATTGTTTTTTCACGCTGAGTTTTTACAATTTCCCTAATTCGAGAGAATTTTCCACGAAGTCCACGGACTGTGTAAAACACCAGTTCCCGAGAAGATACATCTAGTCCTAGCGATTGACACTTAGTTGCTATTCCTCTCGCTCTTGCGATATAATCATTAGCCGACTCATGCAACTTCATTTCTAAATTTTTTAACTCATTACCAGCATCTATTTTTCGATCTTCGGCTTGTCCCGTAAATGTTGACTTTATTTTTTCCCAAAGAATTTTTGCATTCTCTTCTGTGGAGAACTGCAGCGCCTGTTGATCCGATAGTGAAAGTTTTATATATGCTACGGCGTCAGCGTTTTTCTCATTCCACAATCTTTCATCTTTCTCGTCTAAATTTTCTGGTTTTACTGTTGAAATTAACCGAGTCAAGTCTTTTCAGTGATAAGGCAGCTTAATTTTTAATGCGCAAATAAAATAGTTCTCTCCAGTTAATTCGGGAAACGTTCCCACTTCTTTCTCCATTTTTGGCTTCCACTAAGACAGTTTCGACTTGGTCTCTTATATCCAATTCTTCTTGACAAAACCACGGAGCTGCTACCATTTGTTGTTCAGAGGCCAATATTTAGAGTAAAGAAGCCATCGTAGGACAAGTCACTTTATTTACATGAATAATGAATAAAAATATCACACAGGAAATCATATTGAGCATCACACAGCAAACAACATATCAGCATCTCCCTACGCTCGAAGCTCGAATGACGGATGTGTCGGTAGAAGAGACAGCTGCGCCATCATATGCATGCGCATAAGAAAAAACGTTCGCTCGCCTCTACCCAACAAAATGAATTCTGTGAGCGTGTAAATTTAAAAAAGGAAAGAATAAATATTCCCGTTTCTAGTTTAAATGGGCAAATTTCAAACATTAAATCTCGTACTTTTACTTCTATTTTTTTAATGGAATAATCGTTCTCTGCTTCATTAAATTTTTTAGTTGTAAAAAAATCACAGATTTAGTACCTTCTACAAAATTAAATATTGAAAATTAAGATATTCCTAATACATTGTGAGTAACACGTGCATACGAAAATATCCCTAACATTAACTAGGAAAGCCAAAATCTTAGTTAAGATAGACATGTTACAATTAATAATCAAATTTAATAAGGAAAAGTAACAGTTGCCGGGTACATTATAACGGCTTAAGAAATTCAGAGCACAGTACAGATGCGAGTACACAAGATTACATATCTCGGCGAAAACAGAGACGCACACATTTGTTGAAGTAGTTCCGCTTGACTGCCGGGGAAAAAACTTCACTGTCCGTCAGCCTGTAGGTTTGCCAAACGGGTTTACTGTTTCGCCAATTGGCGCTTTTCTGTACAGTTTTTTAAGTCCGTATCGCCTGTTTGGCGCTGCCCGCTGCAATACTCTCCCTCCGCAGTGTCAACGAAATGTGACAATACCGATGCGGGGGTCGGATTAATCGTCCAGAACGGGTGATACAATTGTCCGAAGTTCTTTTCACACTCTTGGAAGCAACTTGAGAAGAGTCCATGGTTACAAAAGCGGGTTTCAGTCTATCTATGGAGATCGTTTGCTTAGTCCCTTTTATTTCGAGATCAAACGTTTTATCTCGTCTTTCTAGCACCTTAAATGGTCCATCATAAGGAGCTTGAAGTGGTTTTCTAACTCCGTCGTGTCGAACAAACACATATGTGGACTTGTGAAGGCGTGGATGAATGAAACATGTTCGCTGGCCGTGGCTAGAAGTCGTGGTCGGGCGGACACTGGCAAAGTGAGATTTTAAATCCTCCACAAACTGTTTGGGGGACGCATCCGGAGGTGTCGGATTGAAAAATTCTCCTGGGAGACGGATAGTCTTTCCATACACCAGTTCAGAAGTGGTTGCACCTATGTCCTCTTTGAGAGCGGCGCGGAAACCCATCAGCATTGTTGGAAGGGCAGCAACCCAGTCACTGGTATCGTGCGCTTTTAAGGCAGCTTTCAAAGGACGGTGGAATTCCTCGATCAGTCCATTCGCCTGTGGGTGGTACGGAGACGTCCTGATCCTCTTGATTCCCAATAATTGGGAAAGGGCTCGAAATAAGCCGCTTTCAAACTGTCGCCCTTGGTCGGTAGTAATAACAGTCGGACAACCAAATCGAGTAATCCAGTGGTCATAGAAAACCTGTGCTACTGTGCGTGCTGTTATGTCTGGTAAGGGTACTGCTTCGGGCCATCTAGTAAATCTATCTATCATAGTTAGACAGTAATAATTACTTTGAGAAGGAGGTAGGGGACCAACAAGATCAAGGTGGACGTGATCAAACCTCTGTGATTGGTCTGGAAACTTCATTAACGGGGTTCTAGTATGCCTGCTTACTTTTGCTTTCTGGCACGGAATGCACTGCCGTGCCCATTTCGCGCAATCTTTGCGGATGGAAGACCAAACAAACCGTGAACATACTAACTTTGTTGATGCGCGAATGCCGGGGTGAGACAAATTGTGCAAGGTGGCAAAAACTTTCTCCCGGAATGCTGGAGGAATGTAAGGACGGGCGTTACCTGTTGACACATCGCAATATATCGGTAAGCTACAATTCGGTAAGGTAACTTTTTTGAGATGTAGAACTTTTGACTCTTTAAGCAATGTTTGTAATTCTGGGTCGATTTCTTGCATTTTAGCGATTTCCTAAATAGTCGATAGGGTTAGGCATGCTTATTGCTTCTATACGCGAAAGTACGTACGTCGGCAGCGATATTCTCCGAACCTTTTATATGGCGAATTTCAGTGGTGAATTGGGAGATAAAGTCTAACTGCCTAGCCTGACGAGGTGAACACTTATCCAAACGCTGTCGGAATGCATACGTGAGCGGTTTGTGATCGGTGATTAAAGAAAAGTTCCGTGCTTCCACATATGCTTAAAATGCCTAATAGCAGCATAAGCTGCCAATAGCTCTCGATCATACGCACTATAGTTCCTTTCCTTCCGCCTGCGAAAGCTTTCGTGAGAAAAATGCGAGAGGCTGTAAATTTCTATCAACTATTTGTGATAGCGTTCCACCGATTGCGAAGTCTGACGCATCAACCTGTAAAACCAACTGGGCATCTTTCTTCGGGTGTGCCAAAAGAACAGCATTAGCGATTAGCTGTTTGCACTTTTTGAAATTCACTCCGCGCTTCCTCCGACAAATTCAGGATTGTCTATCATTTTTCTTCTTAGCCCCTTTTAAATACGAAGTTAAATGTATTTGATTCTGGGCTACGTTGGGTAAAAATCGACGGTAAAAATTTAAAAATCCTAAAAATCTCTGCAAATCTTTTACCGTTTTAGGAAGTGGGTAGTTAAGTATCGGTTCCACTTTGTTCGTCAGAGGCTTGAAAACACATTTCGAAGCGTTAATTGTCAATCCATATGAAGTTAATCTTTCAAAAACAGTACGTAGGTGAGATTTATGCTCATCTTCCGTATCACTAAATATCAAAATATCATCTAAGTAGACGTAGGCGAATTTTAGATCTCCAAGAATTTCGTTCATAAACCTTTGAAAGGTTTGAGCTGCTCCGCACAGTCCGAAATTAAAAACGGAAATTCGAAAAGACCAAATGGGGTGCAAACTGCAGTTTTCGGTATATGATCTGGATGGACTGGTATATGATGATATGCCCGAACGATATCAATTTTTTGAAAAATTGTCTTTCCGCTAAGCGTATTATTAAAGTCTTGTAAATGCGGGATAGGGTATCTGTCGGGTTCGGTGCACGCGTTTAGTTTTCGGTAGTCTCCTACTGGCCGTATGTCGCCCGAACTTTTTAGAAACTACATGAAGAGGTGATGACCATGCTGATTTTGATGGTCTACAAATACCTTGATCTATCATAAATTGAAATCTTTTTTTACTGCTTCGTATAACTTAGGGATTAACCTACGCGGTTTACTGTGCACAGGAGGACCGTTTGTTTCGATGTAATGAACCGTACTATGCTTTACTCTACTCGAATCGGATTTTAACTTCAGTACTTCCGGAAAGTCTTTCAAGATTCTGTGATATGGTGAATCACCAGATATTAACTTTACCGAAAAATAATTTTTAGAATCGGAAAGAGAACCAATACGAGTTAATTTCGTAGTATTATCGATAAGCCTACCTCGTTTTAAATCGATTAAAAGATCAAAATGCCTTAAAAGTCGGCTCCTATTATAGGCACTGGTACATCGGCGATTAAAAACTTCCACGAAAAGTTTCGTCTAAGTCCTAAATTCACAGTTAACAATTTTGTTCCATACGTAGAAATTCTGGAATTATTCGCGGCAAATAATTGAAGCGAATCAGGATGCATTTTCTTAAACTTAGAAGTCGGTGTCACACATGAAACATCCGAGCCCGAATCAATCAAAAAGTTTAAATTTAGTCTGTTATCGTAAACATGTAAACGACATGAATGCGCGACTGCCGATGAATTTCGATCGACAGCCGCTACTGCTAGTTTTCCTGGGCCCGTTGTGTTCTGAGAAAAAGAAACAAGGTGCTCGAAAATTTTCGTGCGTTATTACCGAAATCGCGAATGAAAATAACAGTAATTGTTCAACGCGCTCTCGAGAATGCCCACGTGAAGAAACTTACGTGGTCTGTTTATGTGGATCCCGGGGGAATTATTCCTCGTTTTTTTTTCGCGGGAGAGTCGCTCGACCTGTTTACTTAGGGCAGAGAATTTCACTCCTTAAGTCCTTAAGCTCTTCGAGGGGGCCACCAAGAATCGTTAGGGTTTCGCTGGGGAAACTCGCCGAAGCTGCCTGGACCGCGGAACACGCTGTTGTTCGTTGGCGTGCGCACTTCAGCTATCTTATCAGCCATTTTTGCTAAATTGTCTAAGGATTCCGAACTTATTGATAAAAATGGCATGCACCTCGGAAGGTAACCTTTGCAGCCATAATGATTTTAAAAATTTCGTCAGTTATACGGTTTCCACCTAATTCTCTCTCATTTTTCTCAATAAGTGAGGATGGTTTGTCGTCCCCTAATGCAATTCAGAAATAAGTCTGCGTATTTGCTCGCTTTTTTCCGAATCTGAGAATTCTACTATTAACCTAGCTTTAAGGGCATCATATTTAGCCGTCGCTGGGGGATTAAATAAAATATCTGATACTGCGGAAAGAGTTTCAGGGTCTATCGAAGAAACCACGTGGTTGTATTTTGTACTATCGCTACTAATCTTCGCTAAAGCAAAGTTACTTTCAACTTGAATAAACCAAAGTTTAACATTTTTTTTTCCATAAAGGGGGAATTTTAACTGCCACGTGTGAGATTTGTGGCTCCTGAACCGCCATATTCGATTCCTCGTTGGTTTGGCCTTCCGATCCTGGCATGGTTGCCAATTATAAATATATCGTAAATCGTAAACTTAATGTTTGCACTATACCTTATCAAAACAGTATCAATTTAGAATAAAATAATGAAAACATTCAACATCTCAATAAAAATGTGAGCACAAATATTACCCAAAGATCAATTTTAAACAATCAATAATTAAATTAAAACTATAATTTTAGAGCAAAACATATCACAAAAGCATAATTAAGACCAATCACAGATAATTAAAAAATTTGACCACATACCTGTAAATCCTCCTTAAGTGTGATAAACCACGTGTAATCCGTACGATAAAATGAGGAGGAAATAAATAGGATTGAGCCTTTATCAGTCATAAGGAAGAGCATTGGCATCAAAATAAGGCATATTTTTAGTTTTTAAACAAAGATTGAGACAGATAGCCATTAGGGATCGAAACAGAAGGAGCGAGGGACAGGGTCACCAATGATGTACGTGTGAGTAACACGTGCATACGAAAATATCCCTAACATTAACTAGGAAAGCCAAAATCTTAGTTAAGATAGACATGTTACAATTAATAATCAAATTTAATAAGGAAAAGTAACAGTTGCCGGGTACATTATAACGGCTTAAGAAATTCAGAGCACAGTACAGATGCGAGTACACAAGATTACATATCTCGGCGAAAACAGAGACGCACACATTTGTTGAAGTAGTTCCGCTTGACTGCCGGGGAAAACACTTCACTGTCCGTCAGCCTGTAGGTTTGCCAAACGGGTTTACTGTTTCGCCAATTGGCGCTTTTCTGTACAGTTTTTAAGTCCGTATCGCCTGTTTGGCGCTGCCGCTGCAACATCAAGTTTAGCTGATCCAGAATTTGCAACTCCATCTAGTATAGATCTGCTTTTAGGAGCAGAAATATTTTATGACGTTTTTATTAATGGACAATTTAAATCTACGAAATCACTCGTTTTTAGAAATTCTGTGTTTGGTTATATAGCTACTGGTTCTTTGAAAACATTCCTTGAAAATTGTCAGAATTATTGTGGACTTATCGGTAATGTTGATAATATTGATAGATTAGTAGAAAAATTTTGGTTAGTGGAAAATATTGGTGAAGAAAAGCCAATTCTTAGCCAAGAAGAAGAATTCTGTGAACAACATTTCAAAGACACTTACAGACGAAATGAAGATGGCAGATTTATCGTAAAAATGCCTATGAAAGACGAACAATTAGGAGATTCAAAGCACTTAGCCAACATTAGACTCAATCAATTAGTTAAACGTCTTAGCAAAAACGCTACATTGCAACATTTATATCAAGATTTCATAACAGAATATGAAAATTTGGACCATATGGAAAGGGTCGATGATAATTCAAAACCGGAACTTGAATATTACCTTCCCCATCATGGAGTATATAGACCAAGTACAAAATTAAGAGTTGTGTTTAATGCTAGTGTCTCAAGCTCAAATGGCTTAAGTTTGAATGATTTACTTTTAGCGGGAGCAGTCCAAGAAGATACTTTTGATATTCTTGTGAGATTTAGAAAACATCAAGTTGCAGTTATTGCGGATATACAAAAAATGTACCGGCAAATTTTAGTTGATGAATCCCAAAGAGACTTACTTCGAATCTTATGGAAGAGAAACCTTAGCGACTCACCTGTGACATATAGACTCAAAACGGTGACTTATGGTACTAAAAGTGCTCCATTTTTAGCCATTAGATGCATAAAGCAAGTTGCATATGACGAAATGCATAAATATCCTGAAGCTGCCAAAGCTGTCTTGTCAGACTGTTATGTTGATGATGTCATCTCTGGTTCATCAAACTTAGACTCAGCAAGGGAATTGAAAAATCAGCTTATACAGCTTTTTCATAGTTGTGGAATGACTTTGCACAAATGGAACTCTAATTCTCCTGAACTGTTGGATAGCCCTTCTACAAGCTCTGAGCTTTCATTCTCCTCCAAAAGTGATAATGTGGTTAAAGGAATTAGCTTTCAGTTTTTCAATCGGAATCAAGGAGAATCATCATATACTAAAAGAGACATTTTATATCGACAATTGCCAGACTTTATGATCCTTTAGGACTGATTGGTCCGGTAATCACCAAAGCCAAGATATTTTTACAGAAATTATGGGTTCAAAAACTGAGTTGGGATGAACCACTTTTTGCAACTATTGCTCACGAATGGCAACAGATAGTTTCAAATTTAAAGACTGTTGAAAACATAAAAATTAATCGTTGCATCCTCTCCAATCATCCAAGCAAGATTTCACTCATTGGATATGCAGATGCTTCGGAAGCCGCTTATGGTGCAGTTGTCTACTTGATTTGTGTCGATGAAGATCACAGGCTCGTCATCTCATCTACTACTACTAGCCAGCAAATCTCGTGTGGCTCCATTGAAAACTTTATCTATTCCAAGATTGGAACTTTGTGCATGTTTGTTATTGGCTCATCTGATTTCGAAAGTTAGCAACTCATTGAAGATGCATTTAGATGACATCATTCTGTGCACTGATTCAACGATAGCACTGTCATGGTTGAAGACTTCTCCTCATCTTTTGAAGACCTTTGTTGCAAATAGAGTCTCCAAAATCCAAAGACTAGTAGAGCCGCGACACTGGAAGCACGTATCATCAGCAAATAATCCGGCAGATCTGATTTCTCGTGGTGCTTATCCTCATGAACTTGTGACATCTTCCTTGTGGTGGAATGGTCCTGAACAGAACGAACTTAGTGATGCTTCTTTATTTGAACTTGACAAGACTCTCATAGATTCTCCTGCTTATCAGGATGAACTTAAAAAACCTTTAGACGTTAATTTGAACTGCAATTTAAACTTGTTTTGGAATACCTTTTTTGAATTAACAAATAATTATGTTAAACTAATTAGAATTTTAAGTCTTATTTTCAGGTTTCTGTCCAATCTGAAAGGTCCAGTGAAGAAAACAGGCCCCATTAGTAGCACTGAATTTCAAGATGCGGAAATGCACTTGATAAAAATGGTTCAGGTAATAGAATTTGCAGAGGAGATTAAATCACTTCAAGATCAGAGAGTAATCAAAAGTCAGGTAAAAACTTTAAATCCATTTTTAGATGGAAAAGATATATTACGTGTGGGCGGTTGCTTAACTCATGCCACAATTAATTATGACTCTAAACATCAAGTTTTATTGCCAAAAAATCATAAGCTTACCAAGGTAATATTTATTCATTATCATTTGAAAAATTTTCATGCTGACCCTCAAGCATTGTTACATTTTGTTAGGGAAAGGTTTTGGCCCATTGGTGGCAAGGACTTAGCTAGAAAAACAATTCATGAATGCTTAATTTGTTTTCGTCATAAACCTATCATTTCAGATCAATTAATGGCCGATTTACCTCCTGAACGTGTAAATCCAAATCTAACCTTTCACAACACAGGGATAGATTTTGCAGGCCCTTTTCTAATCAAATATAGAAATCAAAGGAAAGGTAGTTTACATAAAATTTATATAGCAATCTTTGTTTGCTTAGAAACATAAGCGATTCATTTAGAAATAGTATTTGACTTAACATATGAAACCTTTATTGCATGTTTAAAACGATTTTTTCTCGCGTAGAGGTAAAAGCTCATGTCTGTTTAGTGACAATGCAACTAATTTTGTAGGAGCTCACAAAGAGTTAAAGAAACTTGCTTCTTTAGTTACTGTCCCTGATGAAGTTTTGGGTAAGTATTTGGCATCTGAAAATATCTCTTGGAAATTTATTCCTCTCGTGTCCCCCAATTTTTGGTGGAATTTGGGAGGCCGGAATCAAGTCTTTCAAATTTCATCTTAAAAGAACTATTTCCGATGCAAAACTAACATATGAAGAATTTTTAACCGTAATTGATCAAATTGAAGGAATACTAAATTCGAGACCTCTTTCTCCTTTATCGTCTGAACCTTCAGATTACGAACCCTTGACGCCAGGTCACTTTTTAATAGGTAGACCCATAAACTCAATTGTAGAACCTCAAATTTTAGACTTGTCAGAAAGCAGATTGTCAAGATGGCAAAAATTAACTAAAATGATACAGATTATATGGAAACGATGGATAACTGACTATCTTAATCACTTGCAACAACGAAAGAAATGGTATTTTTTCAAAGGACAATATAAAGAAAAATACAATGGTTATTATTAAAGATGATCAGTTACCTTCCATTTAAATGGTTACTAGGAAGAATTGATCAGACAATTCCTGGTAAGGATGGTAAGATACGAGTAGCAGTCATTAACACAAAGTTTGGTCCAATTAAAAGGCCAGTATCAAAAATTTGTTTATTGCCTATTGAGGATAACTTCAAGGATTAATTTCTGTTGTTAATAAATATACATTGTTCTTTATTATACTTATATTTTGGTAATTTTAATGAAAAACTGTGATTTTTTTTTTACTGTTTGAAATGTTGATATACTTACCATAATTATTGAAAAAATTTGCAAATGTTCAAACTTTATAGAATTTTCTGAATTCTTTATTTCATTTTGTAAATGATCATTAACTTTAAGTCTTTTGTTAATGCTTAAAAAAATGAATAGTTGAATTGTTAGCATTTGATATTGAATTGTATGCTTAGATTTAGTTTGCATATCATAGATATTGCAACGTGGGGCGATATGTTGCAATATCTATATACGCGGCAATATAAGTTATGTACAGCGCATTGTTTCCACGCAATTTTAGTTAGTTAAGATTCGAACGCCTAGCGTAGCATACATGTTTTTGATCCCGTATGGTCGGGAATTTATCATTTTCGATTTAGATTTTTAGTTATATTACAGTCCACGAAATAAAATTGTTGTTGTTGTAAAGTTGTCTATAGTATACAGTCTCACCAGCGACCTCAAAACAGAGCTAATGATCAAGTAAACAAGCAAGTAGGGGAGGGGGAAAAAGGCAAGTATTCAAAAGCGAGCCTGTATATAACTATTCCTTATCGGTGTTTCAAATGAACAATACGTAACTGAAAATTTAATATATTATTTGATTAAAATAATGCTAAAAATAAATATAGATTTCCAGTTTTTATTCTAATAAGAAGTCTTTTGTTCATGAGAAATATCACACAATTTGGAAAGCATTTCGTAAAACTCTGGTCTATTAAATTCGTAGTCAGTTTGTTGACCCACATTGTCCAGCATCTTTTCAACACAATTTAGTATGCCTTCATAATTCACCAGGCTCACTTTTACTTTTCACCTTCTATTCTCTTTTGCTTTCTTTCTCTTCTTCATTCAATGCACTTTTAGAATGCCTTCATTATGTAAAACAGGATAGCCTTCGTGTTTTTATTTTTATGCAATCTTTCTTTCATGTTCCTTTTGTCTGTGTGTGTTTATTTCTAAATCTCTGATAGCAGAAATATTTTTAGTAAAGCTCATTGGTCTCATGTGCATTACCACAATCTAAATAATCTCAAAGCTTGAAATTCCATTTTTCACAATTTTCTTCTTTTAGGATATCAGGTTTTGGGTTCATTAACAATTAATTTTAACTCCAGTCCAAAATTTTTCCACTGCACCCAAAGTTTTGAGTTCCTTCTGGAAACTCAGACAAATTTAATTTTGGTTAACATATAATTTTAGAAATTTTATGCTTTAATTGTTTCCCATGGGCCCACCAGTGGCCAAGACGTAATGTCCTTGAACACTGGTAGTTCGCTCCGACGTTCGAATCCCGCGAACAGGCTGGCTGCATGTCATATTTATAGTTTTTTCCATGTGTTGTAGAGACATTAGGATTTTTTGAGAGATGGAAGCCAGACAGATGAAAAATTAGCAACCGCCTTCGCCGGGAATCGAACCACGGACCTCTGGAATACCAATCCAGCGTGCAGAACCACTACACCACGAAGGCACGCTAGGAAAGTGGAAGAAATACCTTATATCCTTTCCTTTTTAAAGGGCGACTAAGGTTTTAGGGAACCTAGTCGCCAAATCTTCGGTGTGGAGAATCATCATCCACAATCCTTTTAGTTCGGGCGCCACTGTAGAGACATTAGGATTTTTTGGAAGCCAGAGAGATGAAAAATTAGCAACCGCCTTCGCCGGGAATCGAACCACGGACCTCTGGAATACCGGCCCAGCGTTCAGAACCACTACACCACGAAGGCACGCTAGGAAAGTGGGAGAAATACTTTATAGTGTAACCCGTCAACATGAGCCAGTTTCCCTAGCAAAGTCCACCACGAAGGCATCCCTCTGTTCTGTATAGTGGCTTAGGGAGGAACACTTAAATAATACTAATATAATTTTTTCTCCTTTCTGATTACACTCCTGCATCTATTATCTGATAGAATGTTTCGCTAGGAATTTAAGGATCCGATTCTTCAGGAAATAAACGGTTTTTATTTATTTTTCAGTTTGGGCAATTAAAAATTTCTTTAATGATTTTCGGGAATATTACAGCATAGGTTTACTATTTCACATAATTCCCATTTTCCAAGAGTGGGCAATCGGTTTACCTACAAATGAGTTTACTATTATTACATTAAGTTACATATGTCAGTATAACTAAACATTCCCAGGAACCTATATCATACAAAGTTATGTTTTTTTAAAATTTCTTTACATGTTATTTTCTACCTGCTCTAAAACTCGAATATCTTTTCTTTAAAAGGAATCTTTCTTTTACTTAATATCTACAATAACTTAAAAACTGGTATTTTTTGTATTTAATTTTTTATCTTTTAACATTATATCCAACAAGTTTGACCTAAGAAATTGGAGTCTTGTTCTGAATTAAAGCAGCGAAACTAATAAAAAGGAATTAATAAATAAAAACAATCTAAAAAATGTTTGGAATTTCTATGAAAGACAATATGAAGCATTTTCATCCTATCAAAATAGAAAATCAGCTTGCATAAAATATTTATCCTTCGCAATGGTTCAAAGAAAATAGTCATGTCATAAATCATTGTAACGGTAGGTTATGAAATTTGCTTTATTAGTTGCAAAAGTGTGTATATGGCGATCGAACAAAAGATGCTTGAAACAAAATAACATCTTCAGATGAAAGGTCCTAATTATGAGTTCCTGATTTGCCTGTTTAAGAAAAATCTATTCTTCTTAGTAATACTGTGACAATTTCAGTAGCAAACATTCTTTTGTTAGCCCAAATGGGCATTAGCCCAGAGGAGCTATTAGTCTCAAAATGGCATTTTGAGTTAAATCGTAATGAAAATCTGAACCACTTTTCAAATTATTGTCACCAAATATTATTGCCCTCTATTACATTTTAATAAACTAAATAATGAAGAATCTACATGAATTAATATATGTTTCTCGAATCGTGAAAAAAATCTACGGTATCTAGAGCCATCAAATTCTGAATAACCTATCCGCCACCCGAACACGAGCACCTGGAAGTGCAAATTTTTAATTTTGAATTTGGTTTATTATCTATTTTACATTTTGTAAAATTTTAACAAATTTTTGATTAACAAACTCAAGAATTTCAAAGCCAGCAATGACAACACTGTAGACAAAAACATTTCTATCTCCAGCGAGCAAGACTGTCTATCGGAAATTCTAAAGATACGCTGTTTTTAAATAATTTTTGATATTCCTGTTGAGTTGAATGTTATGTCGTTTAATTGCTAATAACATGGTATTTAATAAGTAAAGGTAACATAAAGAACGTTAAAAAACGCCCTTTTCGGTGGAATATAAAATCTGAAAGCTTTCAGTTTTTTTTAAATATGTATTATTTTGGTTTATATGCTCTAATTTATTTTGCGTAAGAACTCATATCTCTGCTCGTTGTGTTTTGCTGCTTTGGAAACTAAGCATTCAAGTGCGTAATTACCACTGCTTTATGAATCACAAATCGATATTTTCCTATGAAATAAGAATTTCAGAGTATAAAACTGGAATCTAAATAGAAAAATTAGAACACTAGTTTATTAAAGTTATTCTTTTTTCTTTTCTTTTTTTCTTCCTCTTCACCCCCCCCCCCAGATGAAAAATATTTAATCTTCTACCTTGATATTCTGTAATAATAGGCTAATATTTTCAAAAATAAAACAAAGGCTACATATTTTTTTATTTAAATCTTTATTAAATACAAAATCTAAGCTTTGCGAAAGGTTTCTTTTATATGATGTAAAGACTGAAAAAAATTATGGAAGTCATATTTATTATTCGTGAAATGAGTTTCAAATTCATAAGTCCATAAAGCTAGATATATCTCCCGCCGTCACACCGACGACACACGAAATTCGGCGATATACATTTTATCTATGTAATAGCTGCTTGGAACTGGAGCAGCTGCTTGGAAGCAACACAAGGACTAGCACGTGTTAACAACCCCACCTGATGAAACGGCGTGCGTGGTAAATAAATTCAAATTCATATTCTTATATGCATTTCGCATATATTTTCTTATATTTCGTTTTTATTTCTTTCTCTCTTTCCTTTCTTCCCGTTGTTTCTACTTGTTTGCTTATCTTTTGACATTGATTACTTGTCTAGTAATATTGCATAGTAATGCCGTACATATACAGTTTACATTATTGTACTTATTTATATATACATGTATATAAATATAGTTTAAATTCAAGATATAAATCAAATAAAGTAGGCTTTCAGACTATGACAATTTTGATCACATTTTACATTTAATAAAAATAATTTAGTTTAATAAAATTTTTATTCTATTAAAGAGCTTTTAAGGAACAAAATGTCTATGCTGAAATTGAATGAACAAATTGTCTATGCTGAAAACTAGCCTTGAGGAAAATTTTTCAAAATTATGCAACTTAAACCTTTTTACTCGCAATAAGAATGTCATTACTGGGATATTGTATAAAACTGAAGTACACTGCATAGCAAATTTTAAAATTTAGCATTTCTCAAAATGGCAATTTAAAACACCTTATTATGCGTGTATTTTCCTAGCATAAAAAATATAACTTTTAGAAATATTCATTTTAAAGTTTAAACGGATATTTATCTGCGATATTTGTATATGGTGCTCCCGACTTAAATTAAGGTGATCTGGAGCAATTTTGGTCACATAAATACGAAATGTTTCTTGTTTAATGGACTTTGCTACGTGAACATACTTTGTTACATACTTTTCTCTACGTGACACTTATGAAACTAAATGAAATGATTCGATCGAAACAGTTGAATTTGAAAGAATACCTTCTTTTATGACTAATCGCCCAAGAGGTATTTAATCGTGCAGTATTTTATTATATATTTATTTTCTTTAAAATATATAAAATGATTATTCCAAAATGTTAAAATATATAAATGACGGAATAATTAGATTCAAGAATAGAAATATTTTCAAAAGCAAACTTCTAAATAATGTTTCTTCTAAAAACTAATGTAGTTTCTCATTTAAAATTTAAGAATTTAAACATAAAACATTGTATAGTGCTGAATACACTTTTTGAAGTGATTTTGATTTTTTGTTCCACACAGCTACAAAATGTATACACAAAACTTTAAGTTTATGTACAAAGTAAAATTCTGAATTAATAAATTAAAAAGCAGAAAAAATAGAGGATATTATATAATCTATACAGTGCCTATGTGATAGTTTCAGTTTGTTCCATGTGGTAGCTTATAGTCCATGCGATAGTCTCTTATCTATAGTTGAGTTTTTCTCTTTCACTTAAAAATTTCTTTTCATTGAAGACTGAACTCGTAGAAACGGAAATTATGTAAGATAACAAGAACTCAGAAGTATTCACCTCTTTTTAAAAATGTAATGTAAATGAGAAAATCCATTTCTCATTAAATATTCACGGGATAATAAAATGTAACAAACCCAGTGTGTTTCTTCATATATCTGAGTAAACGAATAAGCTGCGTTGTAATATTACCTGGTATAAATATAAGAAACAGTGTAGAAATTCCTCCAATAAGTCATTCATTCGCATTGCTTCAAAGAAATACTTAAATCATTGTTTTGAGTTCTGATAAAATTAATGCACATATTCTTTTATTTTTTTAAATGGATAAAATTAAAGAAAAAAAAAATAAAATCTTGTATGCAGAGCAATATTTTCAAATTAAAACTTTATATTCTTTTACTTCACGAAAAGTGCGTTCTCTAAAAATTTAACATGTATCTAGATCTACATGAGATATTTGTTTTTGCTGTTAAACACACACATACAGTCGCGCATGCATATATGCATACAGACACGCTCCTTATCCAAATTTACCTTGAAAAGAATTCAAAACATGCATTCCTTCATATTTGCAGTTATAAATAACTAGGAAAAATAAGTTGCATGTAGAAGACATACAAGAGGTTTCAAAAGAAAACATGATATAGTATGTCTCTAATATTTTATTTTTAATTAATTGCTTATAGTTATTATACATATTGCTTATTAATTGCTTTAATTAATTGATAATAGTTATATTATTCATTTAAGCTGCTAGAAACAAAAAAAATTAGTCAAAGAAAACGTAATTTAATTTTATAAATATATTTGTTTCAAGACTATTTTTCCAATACAAACAAACTTTTATGTCCTGATTGCCAGGTTTTCTTATGTATTACATTCTTAAAATATTGGCTTTTTTTAGATCAGAAATTTTCCGCGAGTTTTATAAATAAGATTCATCTACTTTTTTGGCTTCTGAAGAATTTAGAGGACGATACTCTCTCTATATTTACGTATAAAGTATACAAATTCTACTTGAAATGTTTGAAATATGGTATTGATTTAAGGAAAATATAACATAGCTTCACATAAAAAAATTAGTAAAATTAATTCTATTACACATAAGAAATTAGTTCCTATTCTGAACGAATTTCAGAAATTTTAATTAATTTTAAATAAAGTAATATATGGAAAAGTGTTTAATAATGCTACCAGTATCAAGTAAAATGTATATTTACCAGTATCAAGTAAAATATTTATTTACCAGTATCCAGTAAAATGTTGCTTTAAAATTAAGACAATTCCTGAATTCATAGTTAGCAATAAGAAGAGCAACTGGGTTAATAATTAACAATATCTGTAAGAAAGAAAGTTTTTGAAGCTCATTTACATAACCATTTTAATAAATAAAGCGTTAAAGACGTAAAATATGTTTTATTATGATTAGGAGGCAAAATCTTGTAGAATAAAAGTTCCTTATCCAAACTTGAATTAGTAGGAATTTCTTTGAAAAACATACATTTCATTTTAAAAAAGAAGCAAATAGTATGAAATTAATAGTATACCATTATCTAAAACAATATTTGATAGTTGATAACCGTAGATGCAGACCTATACTGTTTCATACAGGTAATTTAACTCAATTAAAGGGTAATGCATGCTGCTAAAATTAACTATAAATGCATTTTTTACAAATGTACGTAATTCGTCTTCCAGACTTGAAACAGTTTAAAAGAATTTCATGATAAAAATTGTTATTCATCTTAAAAAAATTTAGCTCGATATTTTGAAACATTTTAATTGCATTCAGAATTAATTTTTCAAGATTAAATTTATGTATGCTTTTTCCAAATGCATCTTGTTAAAATAGTGTTAACTAATTAAGATAAAAGTATACAAATTTCACTGAATTTATTTTGTTAAAGCTTGTATTCGAATATTTTGATTCTTAGTTTTTAGGGAAACATGCAATGAATAATAAATATTTACCACATTCTTTCATTTCTTTGGGAAAATAATAATCCAATGTAAAAATGATATTCTGATTTTTATTACTGCTATATATTATTGGCACTATTAACAGAAATTTCATACATTTTCATACTGCGAATGTATTAAGCTTTATTATCTCTAGGCGATATTTCATTCTGTATATCTTGTCGAACAATACCTGTCGGGGTTGGCTCAACGATGAATAAGGCATCTGCAACATTCTGATTTGCTGTTCCAGGCTCATTGCTGCGGATGACTGCCCTGTATCCGTTGTCATCTGCAGTATATTCTACTTTCCTGTAAATTCCCGTAGGATCCATGTAACCGTAGCTACCTTTCACAACACCTGTGCCATCGGAAGCCTCATTGCGATATTGGCTCATCCCAAAACCATCTTCCAGTTCATAGCCAAACTGGTAAGGCTTGGGAGGAAAAGAAGTAACTTCCACTTCAATCCTTTCCGGTCTCGAATTTCCAGTTATCTTTCGATCTTTCTCTTGCAACTGATTTTGTATTCCAGGGAAAGAGTTTACTGCACTGAAGAATAAACAAGCAAATAACGCCATAAAATTGAAAGTGGAGAACATTGTAGACGACTGCAAAGTGGATTCACCAGAAACAGTGTCAGCCGAAAAATGGTGAAGAAATTTTCACAGTCACAGAAATGTCAAGACAACTAGAACATTAATGCGAGAAGAAGAATAGCTACGGACTTTTATAGGTAAAAATGCGTGATAATATATATTCCGGCTGTCGCCTAACACGAATCGCTCGAATAAACCACATTAAATCTCCCGGAACACAGAACAAAGACCTATTTCTGAATTTCGAATGGAATATGTTGGCGTGGTGCTCAAACATAAAGCTTTTGACCTAAAGGATCCGATTTTTTGATTCTTCCAAGTACTATGTTCTCGAAAAGCAATGGAATGTTAAGGTTGTTTTTTGTCTTGTAAATTACCCCTTATGCACTGAGTTTCATCACGCGTGCCGAAAGTGTGTATCTTAATGTGTATCTTTATACAAATGATAAAGAAGCATTTGACCTTTTATTCTGGAATGGAAGCTTTCGCAAAAAACAAATTATTTTTACAGTAAGTTTTGCCTTATAAATAACATATGTTATGTATTTCTAAAGTAGGACATGAAATAATTTTGCTAAGGTAAAATTGGGTATTTCTTAGTGCATATGTTGTATGTATATATATAATACAATAAATAAATGTATAACTGCAATGCAATATTAATGCAATGCAATAATTGCGTAATGACGTACATTATATGATGATGATAATAAAACATAATAAACTTAACATGATAATAAAACGTATTTCTAGGATAATTTACATTATTAAGGTCAACACAAATAGCTTAATTACAAACGACTAAACTAAAACACTTTTCTATAAACTGTTTTAAAATAACTTAATTGATTTTCTAAGACTTAGTGGAATTAATATTTAATTATGATGTAACTTTTGTGAAGATTGTAATGGATTTTGAAAATTTCCGATTAAGACAATTATTTGAGTTTTCACAAACATTCCACACATTTGATCTTAAAGCTTATTTTATGTGTTAATAGTTCGGCAGTATTTCATTATTAAAATATAGTTTATTTTGGGCACCTATTTCATAACTAATAACAAATTTTGTTAAAATACTGTAACCGTAAATATTTTTCAAGCAATAAATGTGCATTTAACTTCACATTAAATTTATCTGATATCGAAAATACATATTTACTGAACAGAATATTTGAACGTAGGCTTTGATGATTTAATTTTTTTTAAATAGTTCTTTAGCATAACTGAAAAGCACGTATAAGCGCTTAACACTATTGGATGCATAATACATAATTTTAGTATTAGGCTCATGTTTTATGGAAATAAAAATATTTACTTGAAAATCGTGAACGATTTCCACATTTAATTTAATGATATTTTAGTGCATGATACCTTAATGCAAATTTAAAGTGCTTAAAATATCAGTTTGGTTGACTTTTGACTTTTAATGAGGAATTAGGGAAAATATTTTCTCGGACAAAACGTATTCTTTTCCGATTAATCTGAAGATTTGCACTATGGAAAAAAATATTATTTTTTTAGTTTCAAATAGAGGACTTGAATTTTACGTGAGCCGTGTTTGAGTTACAACTAATTTTGTTACATGGCGGTGACGTAGCTTACTAGACCAATTTCGAGAAAATGATAATTGAAATTTATATATTTGCAATATGGGAAAAACATAGTACTGATCAAATGATCATGTAAGAGTTTCTAAAATTAAACTACACTAATTACTAATAACAGATAATTTTGGGATCTTTAAAAAAAAAAGGTGATGAAAAATGTCTTAAAAAACCCAGAGAAATTATAGCTTCTCATCATCTATGACATATTCCGAAGAAATTAATTAGAAACAAGTCATTGTGATAGCGTGTACAAAATGGTTTGTATTTCATGGTTTGTAAGTATTAGTGATTAAATGTAGGAGGAAGAGAGTAAGTACGTTACATTTTTTGCGAAAAAAAACTGTTAATAAAACAGATAAATTCATTCGTACGCAACGCGTGGTCATATCAGTTGAGCAACAGTAATCAACGGAGCAACCAATAGATATCTTTTAACTGGAAGTTTTATCTAGATGATTCGTCCCGCTGACAAAACTGAGAAAAGTTGGAACGTTGGTTCAATGGAGTTTTAGTAATGATACTGGATGCCTTCGCTTAAAAAGACTGAAAACGAAGCTCTTATATATGCTGAGAAAATGCCAAGGCAGTATAGAATATTTTTTTAGGAAAGAACTTCAGCATCTTTCTGTCATATATATATATATATATATATATATATATATACTGCGTTTGGAATTTAAGATTTCCTTGTCTGTTCGGTATTGCATCAGTATCTCACGGTGAGGTTACTGGATGCGATTCAGAAGTCGTATTTAAATTTTCAAATTGCAAATTCTGACGTATATCAAAGTTCAACTGAGAATTTACTATATGTCTTTTAGTAAATTTGCGATTGCTAGAAAGAGGCTGCTCCTGTGCAATATTGGTAGTGTTATCCATTTAAAGCAATTTCATGTCTCCGATCAAACGAAAACCTTCGGCTTGTAATTTACGTTTGAGAAACTTCATGCACAGTGTCCCTTAGGCTGGATCAACAAGCGTTATTAATATAATGATGTTTTGCTGCTCTTAATATTCCCTTAAAGGATGTGTTGTTATCTTTTAGAAAAATCCCCATTAAAAATCGCATGAAGCCCTTTGTGTTTAAATGTTTTATAGTGAAGAGCTTTATGAATAAAAATAGAAAAATCCTAAAATTTAATGCAAAAGCTCCAAGAGCTTTATCTGTATCTGTTGCCAGACATTCCGCTAATAGTTATGTTAATAGAAAGTCTGTTTAAATGTAATATGATGGAAAGCCTTCACTCCGATTAGTTGAATACGTTTTACCAAAACATATTCTACATATTCAAGCTCGAAATCTAACTGATGTACTTGGAGCACCAATTAATAAGCACTAGCTTTTGGATTGAAATTGATTAACTTTTCTGGCAGCTTCTTATGCCCTGTAGGAATTGATTGTAGTGAGATGGAGAAAATAAGTATTAATTTGTATTTTATTACTGTTAATTAATCAACAGCAGTATCTGTGATCCAGAATTAAGAATCTTTTTATATGTTTCTTTAAATCATCATTTTTAATAAATTCACAGCTATCATTTTTCATAGAATGGCATTGCAAAAAGTGGTTTTGTGGCAGGTAGCAGCTGAATCGATAATGAGACTGAATCAGGTTTCTTAATGTTGAAGACCGAAAAAATATTTTTCATTCTAAAGTAAAAATATAATAAGTCAGTATGCTTGATTAGAAGATTATTTTAACTTTATTTTTTACTAGCAGCTCCGCTGCCAGCCTTCGTCTGGCTTTTAAATGTACCGGGAAAATGGCTGAAGGAAACACCAAACGTTAAATTTAAAAACTGCGTAGAATTTTACTCTGCAGAACAACTTCATAAAAATGTTATTATGTATAACAAAATTACAATGAAATAAGCAATATCCCTTAATACAAATATCAATTATCCTAATAAATAAATTAACCAACTTCCCTTTGCAAAATCTTAAGAACTCAAATGGTATAAAGGAGGTTAAGAACTTTGTTTCCTAAAACAAATCACTCAAGAGTTTTCAATATCTTAAAAACAGTGAAATGAGCAATAAATAGCATAAAAAAATACAAAAAAAAAAAAAAAATTCTGAAAAGCAAAGTATAATTAATGATATTTTATCTTATATTTTCAAGAGAAAAAATTACAATGAAATAAGCTATATCCCTTAATACAAATATTAATTATCCTAATAAAAAATTAACCAACTTTCCTTTGAAGAAAAAAGTCATGCAAAACTTTTCAATATCTTACAAACAGTGAAATAAGCAAAAAAACATAAAATTCCGCGCAGAAGTTTACTCTACAGAACAACTTTATAAAAAAAAAAAAAAAAAAAATCAATAAGAATGTATAATATATATATATAAAAATGACAATAAAATATGCCAATCTCTTAAAAACAGTGACATAAGAAATACGATGAAACATTGTTGCCAAACCCATATTTCTAAAATAATGAAACTATTCAAAATGATGCGATTTCATCAAAAATCTATCAAAAACAGTAAGACAGGAAAATTATTGCCAAAATCACATTTTTAAAGATGTGAGATGCGAGAAGTGTACTCGGAAGCTTCATTTAAAAATTTTTTTAAAAATACAAAATATTATCATTTTTCCAAAATTCTTTTTTTAAAAGCAGTCGCAAGGATGGAAGTTTAACGTGTCCAAAAATCAAAGAAAAATAAACTGTACATTTTTAAAAATAAACGTTTTTATAAAAAATCCCGTTTAAAAGGTGTTAAGCTCACTTAGTTAAATAAATTTGTATTTAATCGATTTATTTGAAACACGAAATTTATTTTAAGTTCGTAAAATAGCTAAGTGCCTACGTTTAATGACGATGTGAAAATGGAGTGTGTAGAGTAAAATTTCGCTTTCCTACAGCCCATTATGTCTCAAAATGACGCGATTTCGTCACAAAACATAAAATTAAAAAAAAATTGTAATTCTAATTTCGAAAAAATCGCTTCGAGGTGCACTATATACCAAATTTCGTAGCCGTGGGTCTATTAGCTTACGCGCAGCGCAAACGAAAGACACACATACAAACACAGAGAGAGAGAGACAGACTCTTTATTTTATTATATGTAGAGAATAAGTTCTTTAAGGTATTATTTTAACATTTAACCTTTAAAACCACATTTATTAAAAATCGTAATGTGCATTAATTACATATATAGTTTCGATTCTTTCTAGAATAAAGCATATTCATCTCAACAGCCTGATGTATGTACAAATGCATATTTTGATTTGTCATCTGCACGCATTGCAAGGAGGAATCTAATATTCTTTGGATTTATAAATTAGTATTTTCCAGAAGCAGTAGAAGATGCAAGAGCAATTGCAATCAAATTTTCATGAAACGCATTTCCATATTACAGTTAAACAGAATATTGAACGGAAAGCGTACATAAAGTATAAATTATACAGTAATACATGTCTCTTGCCATTTACAGAAAAGAACTTTTCTTGATGTTAGTAAAGCCAAGTGCATAATTTATATATGAGTAAATTAATGAAGAATTCACCAATGGCTGTTTTGGAAAAACTATGAGTAGGAAAAAGCCGATTTCGAAAAAAGTAATCACAAACGTAAGAAAAATCATAAACGTGCGCGTGTATCGATGAAAGAACCAGTTGTTACAAAAAGAAGATAAGGAATTTGAGCATTCTTAGTAGTTTTTGATAGTTTGGTACATGCTAGTTTGAGTGTAAATACGTTTTGCATATTACTGGTGCATTAGATAACTCTTATAATGGGAAAAACACATGCAAAATCAAAGTGAAGGTTTCCT